ACATACAATAAAATTCGAACTATCGCACATTTTTTCTTTTTTATTCTAATTCAGTAAAAAATGTTTTTGAAACCTTCATTCAAAATTCAAAAGTTATTATCATATGGCAGAACTTATGACCAGACTATGTACTTGAATAAAATATTTTTCATTTTATCATCAAGATTAGCAGCCTAATAAGTTACTATGACACTCGAGTTAATCCACATTCAGCACCATAGCCTCCCCTTCTACAAGGCCCTCTACAAATGTCAAAACGTCACTTAACCCTTTTAGCACCAGTTCTTTTGTTTTTGAGAAGATCTACCCAAATTTTTAGATCAATTAAATTATAGTCCAGTCGTTTGGTACAAATTAACGTGGTTACCTGGAAAGTGATCCGGGAGTTTTGAAAATTGGTGATTAAAATAGATTTCACTATGCTCTCTGTTAGTCTGTTAGTTAAGTGTGATTGCCGCACTCGTTGCGAAATTGGAAAAATGCTGCCTTAGAGAAGATTTTTGATAATTACTTTCCTATTTTGTCGTTACAGCCAAATGACGTCCACTGCTGGACAAAGGCGAGAGGCCTTTGGGTTTTCCATGGGTTTTTCATAATAAAAAGTCCTGCGCTGCCCGCATTCAGGTACTTCTCGCGACCTTTACCAGATCGTCGGTCCACCTAGTAGGAGGCCTGCCCACGCTACGTCTTCCAGCCCGTGCCGTGGTCGTTCGCATTTATAATATTAGTAGGATACAATTATGTAATGTAGAAACAAACAAGACAAAAAAAATGTATTGAAGTATACATGCAACGCGAATTTTTTTATACTTCAGCATATTTAGGACACCCGGCAGCGTGTCCTGCCATGATCAAAGAAAAAAGAACTCGCAATTTAGCAGGTACATTAAACGAGGTCACAAAATTCGGAAAGAACATAGCGAAATCTATTTATTCACCAATTTTCAAAAATTCCGGAAAACTTTCCAAGTAAAATTAACAAATAACTGGACTATTTACTCGTTTTCTATTGACGTTCATAAGTGCCACTTGTGGTCTAAACTGAATAAATATTTTTTGATTTTGATTTTGTTATTGAGCACAGAGACCTTATTGGTTATTTTTCCAGAAAATTTATATTTAAGTGCATAAATGTAAAAATGGCTTCATAGTGCACAAAATTGGCAATAGGTGGCATAACAATGGTTACTTTTTTAGCGCCTAGTTTGAAATGTGATTGAACGATGACAACTAACAACAGTTGTCAGTTAGGTAAAATTTTATTTTAGTTAGAAAAAGACAAAAAGTGGTAAATGGGTTAACGTGCGGGGGCTGCAAAATCATGTTGTGACGTCACGCGCGAATATTGGAAATTTTTGAAAATTTTAAAATGTCCGTAAACTTCTCGAGGCTCTATCTTCGGTAATACTGGATGGATCGAGGTGAAATAAAAACTAGTGTAATGTGTGTGATCTAAACTTTAAATTAAGTCATAATTTAACTTAATATTACAACTTATGCGTGTTGTCCATTGTATATGCGCGTTCCAGCCGCGGTTCACGCGCTAAGCTGATATCATTATCGCTACACTATCACGGAATATTGTAATGGGCTTTCTTAGAAGCGAAATTAGCTGAGTACATGAACAATTATCCAACTTCCTTGAAGCGTCCGGCTCGGGCGGTAATTACTCGGCCTCTGAAGGACCAAGCGGATCGCCGTGACGTATTCAAATTATCATCTCGCGTGACGCGGCGGCTTACTGATGATAACGTATGCCCATAACAATTATACAGGGTTACTGAGCATTTGAGTTTTCTTTACTAATGCATCTGATAGTCCCTTAAAAGCAACTGATCTACACTTTATAAATTGCCATGTATTTATTCAACTCAATGCGAATATATTTTCAGATAGCGAGAATCATTAACTTAACAATACAAGTATACCGTGAAATGAAGCACCATAAAATTGACATTGACAAGTAAGATCTCTTCACAAGAAAATTCCACCCTGTCAACGTATTCCATATCGAGGGATTTCAGATAAGGACAAGAATTTGTAGTCGTCAAACACCTGCATAAAATATTTTTTGTGAAACGAGTTTTCAATTCCAGTCCTCTAATGATGTGTGGACAGACGTTGGAAGTGTTAACTTGGTTATTTTATTTTCCAAGAAGTTATCGAGTATAAAATTGTGATAACATTCGTCGAGGAGTGAATACCGAGAGTCGGATGTTTATTGCTAATTCGCTCATCATCGGGAGGAGCAATAAAATCTTAATTGGTAATTAATACCGCGAGCGTTCAACCCGCGAGGTGCTCGGTATCGTACGTACGGTCGTGTACGACGGAAACATAAGTCAAGTCGTTTCTAGTCTATTTCTAAGTAATTTGCAGTTCCCAATAGTTCGATAAACCCACTGTTCAAGGAAACGGGAAAGACAAGTTTATGTTACTCTCTTTTTCTAAGAATTTTTTATCTACGATCATTTAAATAGATTTGATAAGCAGAAAATAATTAATTATTGCTGATGTCGATAGGTTGTTTGACAATCAATTTATTTAGGTATAGTTTTTCTGTTTCTATGTTCATCTTTTTATTATCTAGATTTATTTGTTTATAAAAAAGGCAGTTCTATTTCGGGATAAACAGTTTGTAAATCATCAGCTCGCTTACTCTAATGATGATAATTTTAATTCTATATTATTAACTAAACGAATATTAGTTAAATTATTTTGAAGTCATAATACCTACGTAAATTATGTATAATTGAGCAATGCAATAGGTACTAAAAGATGACTATCGCTATGATTTCTTGGAAGGCCGTTATCCTTGAGGCAGTTGGTACATTTATTTGTGTCCGAGATCACTGACTCGCAATATTGTTGACTTCCTCGGAGGAGCGACGCCCATTGTGCGCGAATTGAGGATGCGGACAACACCGCGGGATGTGATTGCGCATAGGGTGTCATGTTTAAGAAGCAATTGACGATGACATCAGGCTAATCTCTACGATATCTGTCTAGTCGTAAAAAGCGAAAATTGTTTATGAATTTAAGTATGCGTAGCATACCAAATATATCTTATGTAGTTACTTGTAAAAGCTTGAACAGAAACTAGCAGAAGAAGAGACGTAGAAGTGAAGCGCTTACTTTTGATAAGATACAAAGAGTGTTTCAGAATAGTCATGATATCACTGAGTTTTAGATCGGACACGTTATAAATAATGGCGATCGAAGAAGCGGGAAAATTTACTTTGTAATATCCGCTCTATACATACCAAAATAAAATACAGTTCGAAATATGCGTCAATTCACAAATATAGTTTGAGCAGTCTTCGTGGCGATATCTGATCATTAGTTACTCCCTTTGTCATGCGCCGGGCAACTGACCAGTGTAAATTAGGAATGACATCCCAGCAGTTCAGTGCACAACACAATACGCATTGGCAAGTGGCGGACAAGATGGCAAATATAGCGTGACACAAATACGAGATATGCTTTGATGTGCTCAAAGTATTGTATTTGTTGCACTATCCTTGTATGAAATGCGATTAGATCACCGCTGGCTACAATACAATGTAAAAAATTCAAAAAGAACAAAACAAAACCTTTACTTAAAAGGCGTGGGACTGGACTTCCGAAAAAAGCTGACGCATAATCTGAGATTGCAATTTGTTTTCGCACAGTAAATAAAATAAATCTTTTGCTTTATATATTTTTTGGAATTCAAGCCCAGGTGGTTTTTATGCCGGTATAATTTAAGATGCAGCAGTATTAAGCTTGAGTGCCATCGTTTGTACCTAACAAGAGATGACGTCCACGAAATTATTTGGTCACGTTAAACTGGACCCAGATGTGTCCTATTCTAGATAAAAGCAATTCCAACAGCTCTGCTTGGGCAGATATTCACAGAAACCTACAGATTTACTGCGATCCGGTTTGTCGCCTGAAGCGCGTTGCTAATGTAGTTACCTTCATTGTTTCAGCTCGTATCGCATACGTGGAAAAAGCGGTTGGCATAAGTTGTTTCCAAAGAGAGTAAACGGGGTTATTCCGTCGATTATTATTTATTCACTGGAATCGGTGGGGAGGGGATGTTTTCAGAAATCTACTGAACCATAAATATCTGGAAAGTCATGGTCCGGGAATCGTATTTATTTTTTCTGTTAGCCATCACTAGTAGATGAGCATGGTAATGGCCCTAAATACAAGACACGTCATCCTGGCGTTAGTAAAGTACCTACACAGAATTCGTAATCCAATGTGCTAGTGTTGACTTTAGAAATTAAAAAAGTTGAGAAATTGAAAACTACCTACACCTTTACCTACCTAATTAATAAAAAGTTTTCATTTCCATATTAAACGTCACTTTAAAACAGGGTTTAAACTATTGTTTAGCTTTTTTAATAAGCGGGTCAGTGTTTTCTCGTGTTGTAGTACCTGTTATAATGAGGATTCCGTCAACTGGAACCGCAATTAACTGGGACCGCGGTCCCAGTCGCCGGATGCGTAAAAATTAAATAATTTTCTTCCGGCGACTGGGACCACTCATGGATTTTAGTACTGTACCGATTTTGGATTGAATAATATTTTCTTTTAAGTTATCTATGAGTGGTCCCAGTCGCCGGAAGAAATTTTTTTTTTTTATGGATCCGTTGACTGGAACCGCGGTCCTAGTTAATTGCGGTCCCAGTCGCCGGAAGCCTCGTTATAATGTACATATTGTCTTATCTTTGTGACGACCTATAATTGAATTGTGTTGCGCGCCTTCTTGACTGGTAGCCTCAATAATAATATGGTCCCGGTCAAGAGGCCGCGCAATCCGCAATCTTCATTGTGTGTTGGTTCCCGCTGAAAACCAGCTTCTCGACATGGCGCTTGTTATGTCGCGAATATAGCTGAGCGGACGCCTCTTCAGCATAGCTTGTAGTTAAATGTTATAATATGTACTGTATTTTTATTTTATTTTTCTATGCTGAATAAAGTATTCTTATTCTTAATTGTTTGTTTCTTACCTTATCTGGCGTGGTGTCAGCCGCGGGCCGCAGCTTGGCCCGGCCCGCGCCCCCGGCCTTCCTGATTGCTTCCATCAGGTTCGCATGCGCGTCGCCCGCCGGAGCAGAGGCGGCGCTCGAAGGCGCCTTCTCTTCACTGTGCGACAAAAAAATTAATAAGACACGTGGACTCAAAATACTATCTACATATATCTATAAATATAGCTATACATTTACATTATTGAATTGTCAAAATGTCTATGCAAATATTGATGTAATAGTTGATGGTGAACCTAAATAAATAAATAAAGCGAAAGGTCACTGATTGACTAACTCAGGCCCTTTTCACACGTCCCGGTTGCCGGCTAACCGGCAACCGGGACGTGTGAAAAGGGCCTCACTCATCACGAAATCTCAGAAACTACAAGTCTCAAATTTTGCACGGGGTTTCCTTTTAGAATGTAGGTGCTCACTAAGACGGGATTTTGTGAAATACAACTCCTAAGGGGGTAAAACGCGGTCCACGCGCACGAAGTCGCGGGCGGCCGCTAGTTATGTATAATCTAAGGTTTATCTTAAAAATCTATCCCATAACTTGTTTAACTAAATTCGTTGCGGATTCTAAGACGGGTGTAGGTATTTCATTGGAGGCCAAACTGTAGATCCTAGCCATACAGGAGTCGCAGTGGTAGAATAAATCCCGACTGGTTTAATAATGAATATCATCTATGTAATTAATTGAATAAATCGAGTTTCGAGTGTACGTTTCATAATACGGGCCCACGACGTACATAATTGATATTGGTTGCGTTAAAATGGTTTTAGAATATGAGGTAAAGGGCAAGGCGCGACATATGACTCAGCATGTTTGGTGCTCTGCCTCATATTAGGCAAGGCGAGTACATGACCTTACTTAAGACAAAGGAGTGAGTTTTCCTAAAACGGATGCATTGTCTAATAAAATTATGATTAACTTGAATTTAAAAAATAATAACTTGTAAGGTCAAATCAAACTTGTTCCAGTTTATGAAAAGTAACTAATCTACAAAACCCTTTATGATAGTTTGGGAGGAGAATGGATTTTGTGTACTGTTACTGTAGTTATCTATTCTCTTTAGACATAAAGTCCATAATCTATTGAGGAAATCTGATGTTTTGTGACAGGTTGATGTACCGTTGACTGTACGTGAACAAAATGGGTTAAACTTTAATGAGCTATTTTATTACTGTGTTCTCCAGCGAGACTCACTCCCTGGCCCTACAATCATCATTTCAAAATTATTTATCCTTCTCACACATCGCCCTATGATTTGTGAGCGACAGGGAAAATACAGAAACGGTGTTATAGAGTAGCCCCACAAGCACGAAGTAGTTAGCGAGACCCTGCAAGGCTGAAGTTACCTATGCTATAAACTCCGTGTGAAAATCGATACCAAACATGTTTCAAGTCAACGTTGTAATTTGTCCGATGAAAGAGAACAACATAATGCAAATAGCACAGTATATATAAATAGTGTGCACTTCCACTATTAAATTAATTAGCCGGGCTAAATTAACGGCTGACCTTTGTGCCGTATCGATTCGCGGCGCGGCGCACTTACGTGTGCAGACACCAGAATTATCCCCTATTATAGCAGAAGTCTATGAGAGAATACATAACAGATTTTTCATTGTTTTCCTCCTTTAAAAAAGTTGGAAGTCCTCTTCCAGACACTAAATACGGCCCAAAAATATCTTGCTCTGCCACCGAGAAATAATCTTTGTTTGTATATCACTATTAACATAGCCATTTTCAGGTTTTTTTTGTGGTTTTTACATCAAATCGAAGTGATGTCACTTTTAGTGATTGGAAAGTTCAGCTATACAATACAACAGAATTAATCTGCCAATACACCACGTCAATTGTCGGTATTGCCAATACATGTGGAGTATTGTTTACATACGCGGATATGCTGCGCGAATCGCTTTCACTAGAATTCGTAGATTTGCGTCACTGGTTAGTATTTCGTTTTACAAATGTACAATAATGTTATTTAACTGTAGGTCGTCTAAGTACTCTTGCATATTTTGCTACATTATTTTATTTTTTAATAACTTCAAACATAAAAATTAGAAACAGGACTGGAATTCGTAGAATTGTTTGCGTATTCTAAGTGATTACTTAAGCGAATTAGAATTTAACATTTATTATATTCATAAGTTGAATGACTGTTGTGATGTTCATGTACAATTTGTTTGTTTGTATGATTCAGAAAAGAATAGGTACTTATGATGTCCTTGAATAGTCGCGGTATCTACACTGGGAAACCTTTAAATTCCTAGAGCTTATTTAACATATTTGTTATGAATCAACTTTCTTGTTTTTTACAGATTTAATAAAAAAAATTCTGTGTTGGTAATGCATTCAGTGTAAAAAATTGAATCAACACGTCCAAGCAAATCAGTGTGTTTATTTAAACGCTTTAGTTAACTGCGAGATGTGGGGATCAATATGAAGGTTCGCGCTAAGCCAGTTCCGTGAACGCCCATTAAAACTACCACGCCGAGTGACGTCGCTATTTCTTCACCTCAAAAACCAGCTTTACTGATTTGCAAGTTTGCAACCTTGTGCAGCTCTGAGAGCAATTTGTATGAAATTCTTCAGATGACAGTTTACGTAATTAATATTTTTCGTACATAAACGAAAAAATATTAAAAACAATGACTCGGAGCGAACGCTCAATGAATTACGCAACATTACGAACAAGTCGTTCGAACGAAGATAAATAGGAAAATAGTAAAAAATTGATAGACTGTTACAATTAAACTGAGAGACGACTAACTTGAAGGCTGCGCAAACAAGCGTGGGAAAACAATATCAGTTTTTCTGGTCGTTCAACAATTAGCACGTTGTCACAGTATTGAAGGAGGCGGCGCCACGGGCGTCATCGTGAAAGTGTAGATACGCCCAGCTATTTATATCGCTGTATGCTTTCTTAGAACATACGCGATCGTGAATTAGAGCCGGCCATCGCACAAATAGTTCGCGGTACTGCGCAAAAGCGTTAGGACCGGTTCCTTTCTCCAGCCGGGCAATTAAAAATATATTGAAAAAAGTTTGATTTAAAACACCCGAATTACTGCGACACTTGGCAGTAAAATTTAAACATACATACTGAGAAAACAAGTGCTGTAGATATTGGAGGGCAAATAGACATACGGTTGTTTTTTTTTAATGCGAAACTTGAGTAGTTTAGGATTTTTTGGCAGCTGATTTTCATTAAAATAATTTTTAAATTGTTTATATCATATTACATTTTGATCGTTTTCTACCAAAATAACAAAAATATACAGTGAATACGACTCTATTAGTGTATAATATTTTCTATCAAATATTTTTACGCAACTATTATACTGAACAATTTTCAGTTAACTTTACCTAAAGGATGAATAGCATGCAATTACATCGCAGGATTCCATCTAATTCATTATGCAATTAGCGTAATGAGGCAAAAACCGAGCCTCATACTATAGAACACACGAATCTTCGCACGCAATCTAAGAACGACTCACATCTTGATGTTATCCTTCCGTAACACTATATGAGTCACGTACATAACTGATTTTGTCTACAAAAATGCCTGTATGTTATTTAAGTGTCCTTTACTTTTCTCTTAAATATCTTGACGGCTAGACGAAAAATTTCAGCCTTTTTCTGATAGAAGATCCTTTCTAAATAGATTTATGAAACCTAATTCTAATTTCATGCTCAACTTATTGGATAAAGTCTAGACGAGCCTTTATTACAATAATACAGTTAGCATCTTAATGCTGAATATCAGACGTATAAAATACAGATGTTTCTTATACATACTTGATCATAAAAATGATGCTAAAATGCAACAACTTTAATCAAATATAATAACAAAAACATCCTGTATGTGCATATTACTTACATTTACAACACAATATTTTACGGAGTCAAAATAAACCTGCACCATATAGGGCCGGTCTGCACGACACAACATATTTAATTTTAAACGGTATATTTTGCATTACGGTAACACTTGCTAACCCAAAATATGTTCTTGTGTTACGCCTTCAGCCGAAATGGATTTTGCAAACAACGACAAGTGTAAAAATTTCATGGTTGAACAGTTTGTACCTACCAAAGTTTAAAATGAAACTGACAAATATTATGTGTAAATAAATAAGTTATTAAATAAAATTGTAGTCCTTAAATGTTAAGTGACATACCTTCCCGTAGCTGCAAACACTTATTTAGTTTAGTCAGAGGTGACTCATATGATTTATTATTATGATTGACTACATGACCAACATGATCAGTTAGATTGTGTACAGAATTTAACAATTGATATAACAAACGTAATTACAATTAATTAATATGAATCAAATCAAAATATAATTCAGAATACACGTACATTATGTTGTATTGATCGATATGTATTATAGGTAAAATTAATATAATTAATTCATCATTGTATTCAAAGTACAGCGTATGGTTTGCGTTAATTTGGTACGTACTGGGTTATTTTTCGTGAGTCACATCTGTGAAGTTATTGCGAAGGTTTTTATTGGAACCATACATCATCCCGGTTCCCAACGCATTAAAAAGATTACATTAGTTTTTAACTGACGACAGATTTTTTTTTTGCCAATCCAGGATATTTTGGATAATAATATGTATGTCATTAAGTCTGACAAATAATAGTAAAGTTAAATTATTTTAAAGCCCCATCACATAGTCCTATGACGCAACTGTGGAACTTGATGTTTCGCCACCACACCCGCAGAAACGTACTGTATGTTTGTTTACAGTGTCCGCACGGAGGCTTTAGCAAAGACTGGCATCCCATATAAGAATGTCTGTAAGACCTAGTTAATGCAGTATCTTAATACATAGTAGGTACTGCAATTAATATAAAACAAAATGAAAGACACAAAAAGCTCTACTCAAATAGCGACTTTTCCTAAAGATTATGCTAAAGTGAAATATATTTTCTGATGTCTCGTTAATTCTAAATAGCTGGCATACTGTTTTGGCATCCATATTCAGGGACTAATTAAAATCAAGCTTTTAATTAAATTCATCACTTGAAACGGCCTGGAAAGTTACAGTAGGTATGTGTTATTTCTTTTGACGAATTACAAACTAGG